TGACTCATCCAATCCTATGGATTCAAAGGGCCTACTCTAGTGCAATTTACTACACTAAGCAACAGGATTTCAGCAATAGAAGGCAGTTTCCTATGCTTCTAAGTCCATCAATGATTACTTATTTCCTGGGCTGACTGCCACCCCCTTTCCTTCAAACTATTAGTGTTGATTTTATTACTATTACTAGCTTTATTAACAACCATGGATTCGGATAAGGAGGGGATTCATAATTATGAAATCCATAGGCATATTTGTTACTGAGAAATCCCCCTAGATCGTAAAAACATCATATTCAAACAGAACACTGAACAACCCAAAGACCTTAACACCAAATAGAGAACACTTGTTCTATTCCCAGCAGACATTCATCATTCTGATGTTCTTGGCAATTTTGATAAATTTAACAGTAATTGCTTGAACACAAGAGCTTTAAGAGGCAGGCAGTGATTAATACATTCCATCTGTTAGAAGAATCCCTGGGGGCATTAATCTTCTTAGTCTAAGAATACATCCATTATTTTCTAAAGAACAAATAATGATTCAACATCCACTGAGTTGTGTTTATTATACACAGCAGTGCATGAACACCTGCAAATCACATTCACAACACAAGGGTTGCCAGCACTAAGTTCCACCAGTGTTCTTGCTCTTCCAGCATTCAGTTCTCTTAGCTCTTCCAAGCATCTTGTCCACATGGACCCGATTATAGCAGTTTGATTGAGGAAACGGCTGTAGAGAGGCTTTAGGAAATGCTCACACGACACATTCATGTCACTTCAGGCCAGCATCATGGGTCAGCTCCTCAAGCAGCTAACACAGCACCACTATCCTACAGCAACAACTGCCACTTGCTAACTTATTCTTCCATTCAGTGCCAAAAGCAATGAAAAACAGGAGGTGCTGGTGTAGATTTTTCACTGCTTAATCGTACATTTTCTGGGTAAGCAAAGGAAGACCTACAGCTTTAGGCCACACCATTGAGGGGTCTTGGTCAGGACTCCCCAAAACCTAGAGTCACTCTTGACCCCATCAATTTTCTAGCTCTGCTCCAAGAAAGCTCATGTAACAATAATGCCTATGCCTTATAGGGTGACACTTGGATCGAGATGTTATCATCATGCCAATAACACCCTGCTCAACTTGATCATTGCATCTAAATTTAGTGAAGTAGTGCAAGAGCTGCATCAGGACCTGGAGGCTTTAATGAATGGAAAATGACACTAAATCCTGGCAAAGAGCCACTATTGGTATATACAGTAGTTCCCACATCTGGAAAGTGCAGATATATCCTGTTCTGTACAGACTTGATCTTCCAATTAATGAACACTGATGTAGCTTGAAAGTAACCAGATCTATCACTAGGAGGCAAAGTGGCCAAAGCGGCTAAGAGTCCCTACTTCCAGGTGTGCCTGATATGCCAGGAACAGCTCTTCTTAGACCAAGATAACCTGACAGTGATCCAAGCCTCAGGAATTTTGCATCTGGACTACTATAATGCACTGTACATGGAATGCCTTTGCAGACAGCTTTGCAGCTGCATCTCGTACACAATGCTGAGAACCACACAACCTAGTGACATATATCTATACTTGTTCTCCATTATCTGCACTGGCTGTCCAATAATTATGTTCTGTCAGGTCAAATCTGACTTATAGTGGCCCTTTCCAGGATTTCCTAGGTATAGTGTATTCAGAAGTGGTTTACCATTTCCTTCTTCTGGGGGCACCCTGGAACTGTGCAGTTTGCTCAAGGCTATGTAGGCTGGCTATTTTCCCAGGAGGCATAGTGGGGGATCAGACTCCAAACCTAGAGTTAAATCCCAGGTTTCCTTCAAAAATGGCAAAAAAGGCTAATAATGAAAATCAAATAAAACAGAAATATAATTAAAACATGAAAATAAATTTAAAATAGTTTAAAAATTATGCTGCCTGACTAATTAACACCCCATACACACTATCCATTTCCAAAATCCACACTTTTTTCCTGTCCCCCCCTTTCATTTCATCTCAGTTACGTACCATCTAGCAACATGCCCTGGCTTACCACATGCTCAACATATGTCTTTCAGATAGCCTGGGTTACAGTGAGCTTTATGATCATCTTCAGCAGTGAATTGTGCATAAGTCCTGTATCTGTCCCTCATTAACAACCTGGACACAGACTGCAGTTGTAGACAGTGATTTTGTATTTTTATGATTGTTATTTTATTGCATTTTGTTATTTTACTGTATGACACTTTCAGGTCCTTGCTCAAAGTTGTTTACTAGTCATAAAAATTCAAAGATTTGATTGAGATACTTTGCTTTCTGACATCACCTATCAATGGATGGAGCTATGTAATTAAGGGTATGATTGTGGGTGGACAAAGGAAAAGGAAAGACTCAAGAGAGCAAGAATGGGTGTGGAAAGAAAAAATTATATTTTGATAAGTGGAGCAAGAGAATGAAGTCAACAGAAGTTTTGATAGTAAAATTCATGATTGAAAAACCCACCTAAGGAAGGCCAGGATTAAGGTTATCTCTTGTCATGATTTAAACTCCTTAGAAATGGAAACTAAGGCTTATCTTTTAACAGAAGTGGCATACTGCAATTATATGGTATATCACAGTTTGTGATTGCATATCATTAACCTTTGATGCATCTGTCAAACCAGATGAGAAGGATACAGTACATGAGTCTGGCAAAGATGTCTACTCTTATTCCATTGTCCTGTTGATACATCACTTTATGGAATACTGCAATTAAGATATCTCTAGAAGAATCCTCCACTGAGTTGGCTCATATCTCTTTGTCACTATTTACTTACTCTTTAGATAGACTGTTTTTTAAAAAAAGGAACTCTTTTTTTAAAAGAGCAATGGAAAATTTAACAAATAATGTAACAAGTTGGTTTAAAAAGAGTTTCTTTTGTTCATGATAATAAACTTTGGGGTGAGCATTCTTTGTGTAATAAGTTATAGGCATTACTTTAAAAATGTAACTCCCCATGCTCTGCTCCAGCAGCACTATCTGATACACCAAGTATTGCTTTCACTCCAAGATCATAGCTACTGTGTTACTACTATTGGCAATTTTACCAGCTAGCCTATTCTTCTCTTGCTGAGCTTGATTATCTAGCATGTTCAGTAGCTCCTTCTGAACTGGAAACCTCTGCTCCCATGCTTTACGTCTGCTTTTCATTCTCTTTGTGATGTGCCCAAATTTCTTCTCAGGAGGCCCAGGGGCCATCCAACTCCTGCATGCCATCCTTTATCTGGGTCTGTAGTTTCTGGAGCTGTTCAATGGCTTCATCATGATGCATGTTTGCCTAATTTGTGTGGGCCTTCAGATCTTTTACTTCTATTTCCAGCTTCTTTCTGGAAGCCACAGTGACGAAGCACTGCTTCCTCCCATCTTCCCATTCCATTTTCATTTCTGACATCTCACTCATTAGCTACTTTCAATTTTATCTATCTATCTATCTATCTATCTATCTATCTATCTATCTATCTATCTATCTATCTATCTATCTATCTATCTATCTATCTATCTATCTATCTATCTATCTATCTATCTATTTATTTGATTTTTACCCCGCCCCTCTAGACAACATCTACTCGGGGCAGCTTCTTTATTATTACATGGCTGAAGGTTACACTCATTCTCTGCTTTTATGATTTGCTGCTTTTATGATTTGCTGGTTCTCATCTAGATGCAGTCTGGCTCCTTTTTTTTAAATGCCTCACAGCTCATTTTCTTCCTCTTCCAGCTAAGTCTTCATCTCTTCCACCCACTGTTCTATGTATGTTGTAAAATTCTCCAACTAATGAATCCTTTTGGAGGCAGCAGTATTTTCAGTTAGTTCAAAAAAAAAGTAGCTGTATTAGTTTCAGTATGTTGACCAAATTAAAAGATGGAAAGGAGTGGAAGAGAGACAAAAGCAATGGACAAAATCCTTTGGTGCTTTAAAGACATAACTGATTTATTTTCCTGGGAGCTTTCATGGAACAAAATCCATTTCCAAAATCCACACTTTCTCCCTTTCATTTGGTCAACTTTCTCAGTTACGTACCATCTAGCAACGTGCCCTGGCTTATCACATGTTCAACATATAGATTCTCACTGTATTTGTCTTGTGACCAGAGACCCCTTCCACTCTGGCTGAAATCCTGTTGTGAAGAATCAACAACCTTAGTGAAAAGTTCAGCAAGGTGGACATGTTATTCACAAAGCACTTCTGTGTGCCTGCCACACAACAGTTGTGATGGAAGCCATGTGATTAATTGTGCAATCAAATTGCACAATGCTGGCGCAATACATAGCACACTTCTACTTTACATGACACAAACTTGAACAGAGTTTCAGCCTCTTACTCCAGTCTCCCACTGTCACAATATCTTGCTTCAGGCTGCTCTCATTTGTCCCTTGCTGTTTTTTTTCCTCATCACCTTCCTCAGAATGATATGTACAGTTATTTCTTCCTTCAAGATATTATTGCCTGTCCTTCCTTCCTATTTGTTCAGGAGTAACATTGCTAGTTCTGATGTGCAAACCTCTGATCCAGCTTTACTTCTAATGGGATTCTTTCACATTTTTAATGTTCGTGATTTCCTAGAAGACTTATGGCATCTCCCTTAAAATCTAGAAATACAAACTTCTTCAACTGTGCAGTCCATGTCTGTTGGCAAACTGCCAGAAGGCCTGATCCTCACAAAGATAGTAAATCTGTGATTGGGTTGTGTAGCCAGAGGGGTAACATGGTGAATTTTTCTCCATACACATTCCCCGCATATCGAAACATTAAGCGTAAGGTAGAAAGCTGAGCTAAACTCTTTCTCCTTGACATATGATTTACTACATGTAGGGGTTTTTTTTCTTTTCAGATTGAAGAATGTTTACTTATGTAAACTGTCCTGGGCAGTCTTAAAATATAGGTCCTCACTAAGTAAGACCTATGCCACTGACTGAAAGGAGAAAATGAAACTGGCATTCTACTTCACTGCCACTGCAAAAGTTATTACCTCCTGGTTCATCAAGATAGAAGCTCAGCTCTTTCTTGTCTTCTTGATCACTAATGTGATCATATGTAATTTGTGGAATTGACAAAGCTGTCTCTCCTGGGTTTATTATAGATGTGGAACCATTGTCCCGTCCAGGTTTTCCTTTTCTCTTGTATCTTTTGCTCTGTAATGCAGAGTAGAACACCGTGTCTCATACAAAAAACAAAGTATCATCTGATGATTTCAGCTTCTAAGCAAGCAAGTGTGGACAACATAGGATTTGCAAAGAATTTATTAAAAATAGCATATTTTTCATTCAGAACTTACTAAGAAGTGGGTGCCCACAATGTTAATGTACATCTTATGGATGTTGTGTATGTCTGAACTTTCTATGCATATTGGCTGTCGCAGCACCACATTCAACTGCCACATACATTATAAAGCTCCATGTTCCGGTTTAATGTTTATGTGTGTGGTGCTCCAACTGAAGAAGCTGCCATAGCAATATGGCAAACTGCTGGTCATATATTGTTGCATGTCTGATTGTGTGACCTCATCAGATTGCTATGATACTGTCTACAGCAGCAGAACCACACACATAAATGTTGACCAAAGGAAGTCAATGTCCACTCCACACCTGTCTTGAGCACCTTTGCTCTCCCCAAACACATCTGTTTACACCCTGTTGTCTTGAAAGTGCAGGGATATAAATGAGGCATACACTGTCTTGAACTCACTGGAGGTAAGGTGGAATGTCAGAGTAGCAAATAAATAAATGAAGTACAAGTGTAGGTAAGAAAGAAGAGTGATCCTCCTTACCTGTCTTCTGAGAATTGGGCTAGATGGTGCAGGTGTTTTCTTTGTGTTTTGAGCAGGTGTAATGTAGATCTTCCATGTTGCTGTGGAGCTGTATGATTTCTCTGCTGCATAGCATCTCCACAGAGTCTGCAGGACACAAAACCAATTCTTGCTAAAATCATATATAAAGTGAAAAAAATTACATACTTGTCTAGTATAAGCAAATTCTGTTATTTGACCTATAAAAGCAAGGCACAAGATTTATACCATAGATGTTGAGAAAAAAATATAGATGTAATGCAGTCTTTCTTGCTTCTTTCCTACACTTATTCCCTTAGAAGAACAGGAAAATGGAAGAGCTAGTGTTCCATCAGTTTGGAAACAGCAAAAGCACCTGAGCTGCCTCTGCACTCTGTCATGAGTTCATGAAATGGTAAGTTAACTCCAGTTCTGGCAGGAGTACCTCAAATCAAATTCAAAATATGGAATAATGTCACACATGTATGCATGACAGCAGTGCTTCTCAGCCTTTTGCCTTACACATATTTCAGATACCACCTCCAGGAATCTCCAGCCAGTGTGCCCTAATGATCAGGTCTTTCGGGGGAGGGGGTTGAAGTTCAACACATCTGGAATGCCAAAGGCTGAGTGCAAAGACCATACTACACTATGTAGGCAGCCTATTATACCTTGGTTTGACATGTATTTGATTCTGTTCTGCAGAATGAGGGGACAGATCACAGCACAAAGCAGGCCTGATCAGGTTTATCCCAACAGGTGCTGCCCATCCTACTCACACTTCCCAGGCAGGCCGACTGAGGGTGCTAACCCTGAAGGAGGCCCAGGCGGAGAGAACAAGGAGCCGGGCCTTCTTGGTGATTGTACCCTGCCTGTGGAATGAGCTGCCATCTGAAATCCACCTAGCCTCCCTCCCTGTTGTCTTTTAAGAAATCTCTAAAACCATTTTTATTTTGGCAGGCTTTTCAAAACTTGCCAACTGAAGAGTCACTGAGAGCACCAGCCTCATAGAGCTAATTAATGTGTTTTTAGATGTTATGATATTTTAGTTTAATGTTATTGCACTGAATATGTTATGTTATGTTTCTTTTATACCACTGCTATTGCTGTAAACTCTCCTGAGTGATCATTGGTCAGCTGGGCTGCATAGGAATTAATTAAACAATAAATAAATATACTAGGCTCTAAAAGCCTTTCTGTTGGCCGGATAGCTCAGTGGTCTAGGTATCCAGCTTCAGAGCCAGAGGACGCAAGCTCAACTCCCCACTGTGGCTCCTGTAAGAACGGCCCACCTGGGTAGCCTTGCGTAGATAGCTCAATGGTTTAGGTATCCAGCTGCAGAGCCAGAGGGTGCAAGCTCAACTCCCCACTGTGGCTCCTGTAAGAACGGCCCACCTGGGTAGCCTTGCGTATATTGCACACACCCCTAGGGCACCTCCAGATGAAGGGAAGGGTCAACCACTTCTAAGTATTCTCGACATGGAAAACCCTGAAAAGGGGTCACCATGCGTCAGAATTGACTTGATGACACATGATTATTATTAAAAGACTTTCTGCTACTGGTCAGATGTTCAGAAGGCCTTTGCTGCCCATGCTGGTGGGGCCCTTATGATTCATGGCATCCCCTCAGGTTGATTCAACTATTTTCACACTATCTACTTCATTAACATATTTAGAATTTTAAAAGTTACAATGGTATCCGGTAAATTCAGCAGACTCTTAAGCGGGAATGACATAGCCACTGAACTTCAGAGCAACTTCCGCTGCGCTGGGAACTTCCCACTGCTTCCACCATTCACAAGAGATGCTTTTCCTGATTTAAATGTCAGAGAGTGTCCTGAAAATGCACTTCAGATAGAAGACTACCAGATCATAACGACACCATAAAAACAGGATGGCTGAACTACAACTATGAATCTATCTTCCTCCACTGCCATCCATCAATTAAATACCTGATCCAAGTGCATTTTAAACTGCTCTTTTTTCACACATGTATGCTAGCACTTAGAAAATTCAAAAGGACTGTTCTCCACTTCCACCTGGCAGTTTTTAATCCTCTGTACTTTAGGGATGTTTATAAAATAGTGATCCAAATCTCTTCAAGGTCTTCAAGCATAGAATGATCTTACTTCCAAAGTAAAGCTTACACAGAAGGAATTTTCCATTGTTCTACTGTCAGTTTTTGAGCTTTGCACAGAACTCTTATGCATATTGCTTGCTGCAGCTGTTATTACCTTCAGATCGCTCGTGCACAAGTGTGTTCATGGAGAAGTGTGTATTGCAAAAATCCACATACAATGTATGTATGTATGTATGTATGTATGTATGTATGTATGTATGTATGTATGTATGTATGTATGTCCTTCTGCCTCCTCCCTTCAGTCTTCTTTTCTCAAGGTTAAACAGGTCCAGTTCTTTCGGTCTTTCTTCCTAGGGCTTAGTTTCAAGATCATCTTTGTTGCCGTCCTTGTATGTGGTTTTATCTGTGTTCTTCTGGTTCTTTTATTGTTACTAGTGGGTTTGCAGAGTCAGAAGTGTGTGTGTGTTTTTTTTAAGGGCTTCGATCCCGGAGATATCTATTTTGGTCATAACGCCCTTAGAGTATTCCTGTTGTATCTCCCTTGCCAGATACAGCATTGTGGCTTAGTATGGTTTTCCAGAGGGGCCGCTGAGTTAGCCTGTTGAAGAGTGTGGTGACACCTGAAGGCTGAGACATTTTATTGGGCATGAACCAATTTCTTGGGGATGACACAAGAAATTTCGGTTATTCTCAGGGCAGGCCTTCTCCAGTCAATTAGCTGATGTCTTTTCTTTGTTTTCTGAGTTATTTCATCTTGGCAATTCTCTAAATAAGTGTTAAAGCTATGATGTTTTGGATGATTTTATGGTGTTTGTTACATTGTTATGTTTTTATGTTTTGAAGCCGCCCTGAGTAGACTTTGTCTAGGGGGGTAAAAAAGTAATAAAAGTTAAAAAAAGTAAGTAAGTAAGTAAGTAAGTAAGTAAGTAAGTAAGTCAGTAAGTCAGTAAGTCAGTAAGTAAGTAAGTATGTATTTGAATACATATACATACATATATATGTATGGCTGCAAAAAAATTGAATACATATATATACATATATATGTATGGCTGCAAAAAAATAATCATGAGGATGGTTTCATATATCCTAATTTGCATAAGGCTGACTATCACTTCTATTTCTCAGTCCTTTCTTGAAGGGCTATCAGAAGGCAGTCCTGTGTTTGAAGGCATCCTCTCTCTGAAGGGCTGCCTACTCCAAGTCTCCCTGAAAGGTAAAAAACCTAAAGCAAAGACTATGACGTTGCCCGTCGACACTTAACTCCAGGATAGCAAAACTTAATGGGCTCACCATCTTCTCCGCTGTGATGAGATGCAAAGCATTTCTGTTCAAAGAATGGTCATGATTTTCTAAACGTGTACGTCAGTTTATGTAAATTTTATGCCAATTTTTTTAGTGATGCATTGGTCACCAATATGTTTCACAGCAACAGCTGTGTGCCTCCTTACTGCTGCTGACTTCTACTCACCCAGCCTGTTGTAACTTTATTTTAAGAAGGGCTCCACCTTGAGCACAGGTACCCAACCTTGATTCCCCAGATGTTCTGAACTACAACTCCCAGAATTCTTAGCCAGTACAGCTAGTGGTGAAGGTTTCTGGGAGTTTTAGTCCAAGAACATCTGGAGACCCGAGGTTGAGATATATGTTAATGTTAATATCCATGGTAATCTATGCTAATTTCACTTCGACAGCCTCCCACAAACCTGAAAGCATCTGAGCTACTGAATCATGAGTCAACTCCTCCCTAGTTAACGCCAGCACAATTAGAGTATTGATCTACTAGTTTCCGTTCTTGGGATGTTAAAATATTAACAATCATGTATTTACCTGAATTAGAGATGCTGCTGCAGGTATTTGCCTGCTGAAGTGTTTTTGACGTTGTTTCTGTTGTACTTTTAGTGCAAAGCCAGAACCCAAGATGCCCTGAAAGCCAATAGATAAATAACTGTTAAAGAAAACATCCATTAATGCTGAAGAAATGAGATGAGCTATGGAATTTCCAGTGAGCTTTCCTTCCCTGACACTCACTTATAAACTACTTATAGTTATTTTCCATCAAGTCAGAACTGACTTTTAGTGACCCTAATCGGGCTTTCAAGATAAGTAAAGTATTTAAGGAGTGGTTTTACTAATTTCATCGTGCAAGTGAGTTTCCATAACTGAGCAGGGATTCGAACCCTGGTTTCCAGAGTCCTAGTCCATCACTCTATGTATCCACTACACCAGGCTGGGTACCTCAGACTATGTGTACTGTACAGTAAATGTACAGTGTAGCTTGTTTTCAATGAGGTGCGTGAGGGCACAAACATACATTTAGAATAACTTGCTATGAGAAGAAGAAAATCCTTAAGAGTGGCTGATGGTATGTACGTCTCACAGCAGGAGCTCCTGTAACCACCCAGAATTTATATATCAGACTACCTTCTTTTACCTGTTGCCGTTCTAGTCTCAAACATAGGATTTCTCTGAACTCTGATTTTTCAGATGTGAAAGCCTACTTGAATTACATCTTCCCAACACTTCTGTCTCAAAAGGGAGGACCAGGAAAGAAAGAGAGCACACACACGCAAGCAGTGCCAGCAAAACCTCCCAAGACATTTCTTTTTGAACAGCTTCTCCTGAGTGGATGTCCTGTTTATTTATTTATTCATTACAGTTCAACAAGCTACGTGGCGGGCAAAACAAGATGAGGAAATAGAGTCACTGAGGATGGAAAGCCTCCTTAAAACAGTCCCTTTGAATTACACCACCTAGTGGCACTTCAAATGGAATGATCATTAGAAGGATTTTCTCTCTCTTCTGTCTGTGTGGCCACTTATATCGAACAGAATCAAATGTCCCAGTGGAACTTCACAGTGAGAGAATGTAAATTGATTTGCATTTCCCTCACTGTTTAGTCACACCCTAACATGGATTATTTGTAGAATCCATTTCTGTCTTGTTTCATCATTTTTTTAAAAAAACGATTACCAAAATTTAGAATTTTGAAATATAAAACAATTAGTTCCACTCACCGCTGGAAGGGCAAAGAAAGAAATGGCGAATACAGAGAAACAGGATGCTATCGTTTTGCCAATCCATGTCTGTGGCACCTTGTCACCATAGCCAATAGTTGTGACTGTCACCTATTCAATTGATAAAAAATAATTCACATAAAGTTTTTCTGAATTAGTACATTTCCCCCAAACTTTATATTCAATTCCTGTTGTCTCGTACCAGATGTACCTAATCCTGTTAGGGCTCAAACTTTCAGAATGTCCATTCTCTTTGTCTGGTGCTGAAAGTGGATGTCTACAGTTCTGATTAGTTTTTGTTGTTAAGTGCCATCGTCACCCCTCAACTTATGAAGACCCTATGAATGAGCAATCTCCAAAATGCCCTGTCCTCAGCAGTCCTCTTCAGCTCTTGTAAACTCAAACCTGTGGCACCTTTAGGGAGTATCCATCTCACATTTGGTTTCCCACTTTTCCTGCTGCCTTCCACTTTTCCCAGCATTATTATCTTTTCCAGATAATCCTGCCTTCTCTTAAGGTGCTTAAAGTACAACAGCTCTGGTTTTAACATTTTTGCCTCCGGACATAGTTCAGGCTTGATTTGATCTACGAGCTACCTGTTCAGCTTTCTAGCAATCCAAGGTATCTGCAAAACTCTCCTCCATCACAACATTTCAAACAAATCTTTTTTTCCTGTCAGCTTTTTTTACTATCTAGATTTTACACCCATATATGGTACTTAGAAATACAAGAATGTAGCTCTAACATCCTAGTAGGATACACTAAATTACTTCCAATGTATGGATTAGTATATATTTCATGTATTTTATGGGAGAAATGGGACTTGGCTTCAATTGGAGAAGGAAGCAAGTCCCAACTTTATGTTCCCTCGCTTTTCTAGCAAATGCCTAGGCTTATAGTACAGCTTCTTGGTTTATCTATATAAATAAAAAAGTTCAAGTTGAGGCAGAACTGTCCCTAGCCAGATCTTCAAAGCAGACTCCAGTTCATCTGACTAGATTTAAAAAAAACTAAAGCACAGGCAGAGGGGGCAGATGGATTTGGCTTACTTTTATTGTGTGTACAAGACTAATTGTGAAGCCAGGAACAAAACTCAGTGGGAGAGACCACATGAGGCTCTACGTTAAGATGGGGAATCATTTTAGCTCAAGTTCAACCTTCCTCATCCAAGCTAAAACATACCCAAGAGCAGCCCAAAAAAAGGGGGGGGGAGGGAATGATCCAAGTTCAAGATTTTCCAGACAAAATAGCCAAAGATTTGAAAGAAATTTTGGGTAGTTGGATTAAAGAACTATTTAACTTGACATTCTTTGTTCTTAAAAATGTTCATTATATTCAAATCAACAATTGACAGTTACATACAGTAATTACAGAACTAAGAGGGACCTCAACCATCTTCAAATTGAACTCCCTGCCACTACAAGAAATCTACTGTCAAATACAGGAACCTTGAACCCTGATAGGTGGCCATCAAGCTTCTGCTTAAAAAGTTTTTATGAAAGCCAGTACTGTACATCACTGTCTGGTACAATCTGTTCCAACAACAAACAGCTTATATCATCAAGATGTTATTCCTACAGTTTATTCAAAATCATTTGAGCCCATTGTTTCTGGTGCCAGTCTCTGCAGTGACAGAAAACATTTTTTTTTCTATTATCTGCATGATAATCCCTCTACTGTCTGAAGACGTCAGTTGCATTGCCTCTGAATTGATTAATCTGTCCACAGACAAATCCAGCTCCTTCCCAGAGCCATAGGAATGCAGACAAGGAGGTCTTTTTAAAAAGCACTGGGAGGGAGCCTTCTTGAAATAGTTCAGTACTAATTATCTTGCTTCTAGTTCCTCATTCACCCACTGAAAATGATTAAATCTGTAGTTCTAAATATTTCAGAGAGAAATAACCCTGTAGAATTGAATCCAAGGAAGAAAGGCACTTACCACACCCCACCAGAGAGCATCTGCATAGCTGGAGAACCCGGTTTGCCCCTCCTCATCCACTGCATCTTTCTCAGCAAGATAGACGAAATATGATGAGAAGATCAGTCCCAAGAATCCAATATACAGTGTGGTTATCAACTCCTAAAAGAAAACAAAGCATAATTAGCAATTAGAAGTTCACACCGTTGCAAAAATGCTTTTATTTTTTAATTTCCTTTATTATTTATTAATTTGCTTATTCCTTATTAACATGTACTTGTACCCTACTTCCTTATAACAATATTAAAAACTGCTTCCAATCAAGACTAAAATACTAATATCAGTCATCGGAAAGAAACTTGTGTTATATCACAGAAACAAATCAGAAGCCTGAAAACTAAAGAAAGCAAGCAACAGCCTAAAATTATTTTAAGATTTGCACTCTGCAAAGCCTCATCAAAATAAAACTTTATTTATTGCTTATGAAAAAATGACTAACAATGGAGTGAGGCACTAAAGCAAAAATGGGTAGGGGGAGGCTTTGTAGCACCTGCAAGCTAAGACTTCTATTTTAGTGTCAGCAATGGGAGGCTGTTGGGTAATATAAATGGAGAAAAAAAGGTTCTTAAACCCAGAACTCCACATTTTTGACTGTGTAGCAACTCAAGGCACAGCCTCAGAAGATGAGTGAAGTTGTTCAGTTGGGTCTTATAGTGGAGAAAAGCATTTCTGGAACTGTTCTGGTCTCAGACTGGCTGGGGCTTTTAAAGGTCAAAATCAACAATCTGAATTAATCATGTAATTAATTTAGTGATCTAGGGCTTATCCAGACAGAGTATTTGTTCTTGTAAAATGCCAAGTTCTGCACTGATCTTATCAATATTTTTCCCACCATCCACACGACACAAAGACTGTTTCAGTCCAATGCTTTTTTGTGACTTTCTTTGCTTTTCATTTCATTGTTCAGCATGGTTCATTTGTACGTACATGATTTCAATTAACAAATAAAGAATCTTCAACAGAAAATTGGATCTCTAAAACATTTGTGAGGTTTCTCCAAGATTTCATAAAGGGGAAAGGTTTTAAAACAAGTGGATTTTCAAAGGGATGTGGCAAAACCTGCACTTCTTTGCAACCAGATGGGAGAAAGGAAGGAGGAAATGTTGCCTTTACTGGAAGAGCCCTTAGTGAAGTTGTTATACAATTGGTGTAACATGACACGATCTACTAGCATTAGCCAAAACTGTGGCCGCCATATTTTTAGCCAACTGTAGCTTCAGTTTTGTCTTTGAGGGTAACCTTAAGAATAAGGTATTGGAACTGACTGTTACATACAGTGCTGATGTTACCTGTCTGTCATGGGTTGGAGGGAAAGTTCCATCCTATGGGGGAGTGGAAGGCGGGACATCAGGAGGAGGGGCTGTACTGTATATATATGTGGAGTTATTTAAATAAACCTGTATATATATGTGTGTTATTTAAATAAACCTTATTCCTTTATTTGTTAAAAATCCATTCCTGGTCTGTGTGACTCCTTACAGGGAATGGTTGGTGGCAGCTTAGTGAAACTGTGGTATATCCCAGTAGGTCTGGGGTTGTCACACTGACGTCTTGGGGCTGCTCTTGAAGAACTGTATTACAGTACTCTGATCTGGATGTGACAGAGTATGAATGACAGAGGTTAAGTGCTGTTTCTTTATAAATGTGTGCCATTGAGCATAGAAGATTATGGTGATAAAATGTTCATGTCTGCCAACTGGCTGTTTGGAAGCAGGGCCTGATCCACATTGCAAATCTGGAAGCCTTCCTCACATCCTGCATCACTGTTTCTGTCTCCTGAGTGACAAGGAGAACTTGTTTGTATCTCCCTTTTGTTTGGGAGAACAGTTTTAGAACAGGAAGCAGAAGTCACAACAGAAATGAGTGGTAAATAGAAATGGGGATGGATATAAAAACCAATCGGCTTTTTTGACGAAAATAGCTGATTTGCATCAATCTGTATTCATCAAATTTTAAGTCCCAACGAATACGGATCGATGAATATTTTCCCATTTTTATTCGTTCTTCGTAATTAAAAAACACCATTCTGCCTGCTGGCCGTCGATCAGCAGATTGACAGGACAATAGGCAGCCACCCACCCCCACATCCAATCCCCATAGCCTACCCCCACCCCCTTCCTCTCCCTATTTTAGCCTCCCACCCCTGCCCACACCCCTTTACTGTAATTGTCGCTGCCGCTGCCGAGGCCTCCATCAGGCATCCGAAGCCACGGCCTGTAGAAAGGGAAACTGGCTGCCCTTTGCAAAGATGGCGGCTGCAGATTCATTTAGGGTAGGGAAGCTGCATCTGCCATCTTTGCAAAGGGCAGCCTGGATTCTCTTAGCCTGCCTTAAGGGAAGCTGCAGCTGCCATGTTTGCAAAGGTCAGCTAATTTCCCTTTTTATACGCCATAGCTGTGGATGCCTGATGGAGGCCTCAGCAGTGACAGCAACAATTACAGTAAGGGGGTGTTGGCAGAGGGCAGTGGTGGTGTGGTGGTGGCAGTGGTGGCAGTGGGAGGTAGCGGTGGCACTGGGGGGGGAACAGAGTGGGTTTTTTAATAAGCTTCCCACAATTGATGGATAACTTTTGTTATTTGTCGCTTAATGGGGGCAACTTCGTGCGTCATGAGTGGTCAACTTCTGACGACTCACAAAGCGGGACAACTCACCAAAATGGTAAATAGTATGGTTTGCAGTGGTAATGGTAAATGGTTTGCAGTGAAACTAAGCAGGAATCAAGGTTGAAAACAAGATTGTGAAGGATGACTGGCATTACATAGGAAAGAAGATGGCCATAGAAACATCATTTTATTAGGAAGCATCTGAACTGATAGCAGATAGGAAGTTATGTCTATATACTTGTGGGGAAACATACGATCAGAAACATGAAGGCGTGTACTAAGATTTATGTTAACATAACACAGAATTTTCTAAGAGAATATGATAAAGTATTGTATAAATATAATTCAAAGATCTACTTAGGAAATAGTAATGATGACAACCTGCCTAACCTGGGATACCATCTTCTTCTCCCCAACCTACATCATCTTCCCGTCTGCTTCTTCTTTCTGTCACTCATCTCATCTTGCTATATCGGTCGTATTAACTTTCTTGTGAACCCTGTTGTCTCCTTCTGCAAATGTGAACTATGTGAAATCCATAAGCATTCTGGTGTATCGCAGACACCTATTTTGTGCCTACCTGCAGCATATCCTAGATATTGTTGTTGTTCAGTCATTTACTCGTGTCCGACTCTTTGTAACCCCATGGACCAGAGCACGCCAGGCCCTCCTGTCTTTCACTGCCTCCCAAATTTTGTCAAATTCATGTTGGTAGCTTCAGTGACACTATCCAACCATCTGATCCCCTGTCGTCCCCTTCTTGTCTTGCCTTCACACTTTCCCAAGATCAGGGTCTTTTCCTGTCTTCTTCTCATGAGATGGCCAAAGTACTGGAGGCTCAGCTTCAGGATCTGTCCTTCCAGTGAGCACTCAGGGTTGCTTTCCTTCAGAATGGATAGGTTTGTTCTCCTTGCAGTCCAGGGGACTCTCAAGGGTCTCCTCCAGCACCACAATTCAAAAGCATCAATTATTTGGCAGTCAGCCTTCTTTATGGTCCAGCTCTCACTTCCATACATCACGACTGGAAAAACCATAGCTTTGACTATGCGGACCTTTGTCGGCAAGGTGACGCCTCTGCTTTTTAAGATGCTGTTGAAGTTTGTCATCCCTTTCCTCCCAAGAAGCAGGCATCTTTTAATTTTGTGGCTGCTCTCACCATCTGCAGTGATCATGTAACCCCAGAAGGTAAACTCTGTCACTGCCTCCATATCTTCCCCTTCTATTTCCCAGGAGGTGATGGGACCAGTGGCCATGATTTTGTTTTTTTTTTTATGTTGAGCTTCAGACCATTTTTTGCACTCTCCTTTTTCACCCTCATTAAGAGGTTCTTTAATGTGGCCATGATCTTTCTGCCATCAGAGTGGCATATCTGAGGTTGTTGATATTTCTTCTGGCAATCTTAAATCCAGCTTGGGATTCCTCCAGTCCAGCCTTTCGCATGATGTATTCTGCATATAAGTTGAATAAGTAGGGAGACAATACACAGCCTTGTCGTACTTTACCAAGTTTGAACCAATCGGTTGTTCCATATCCAGTTCTAACTGTTGCTTCCTGTCCCACATACAGATTTATCAGGAGACAGATAAGGTGGTCAGGCATTCCCATTTCTTTAAGAACTTGCCATAGTTTGTTGTGGTCCACACAGTCAAAGGCTTTTGGGTAGTCAGTGAAGCAGAAGTAGATGTTTTTCTGGAACTCTCTAGCTTTCTCCATAATCCAGCACATGTTAGCAATTTGGTCTCTAATCCTGGATATGGGAATACAGTGGAACCTCGACATACGAACGTCCCTACCTATGAACATTTCGATTTACAAACTGCAAAATTTGCAAAATTTTGCTTCGACTTGTTAACTGAGCTTCGATTTACGAACAGAAAAAACGTGTTCTGTTTAAAAGGTGTTCTCCTGACCTTTTTTAAAGCTAAAAAGTGCTAAGGGTGCTTTGGTTAAAAGGTCTTGTGTTTAGAAGGTATTCCCTCCCTCCCTCCTTTCCTGCCCTTTTTTTGACCTAAGTTCATCTTAGGTCAAAAGAAGAAAAAAGAAAAAATCTCCCCCTAGTGGTAGCGTACAGATTAACTGGCTTTGCATTAGTTCCTATGAGAACTAATGCCTCTACTTGTGAACAGCACCTCTACATAAGAACCAAAACCAGCCAGAATAGATTAAATGATTTTCAATGCATTCCTATGGGGAATTTTGCCTCGACTTACGAATGTTTTGATGTACGAACACCGATCCAATATGGATTAAGTTTGTAAGTTGAGGTTCCACTGTATTTTATTCCTGCTCAAATTCACTGAGACCCTATGCAAGACTGCAAAATGAATTGTTTCCAGGGCTAGCTTTTTGGGGAATAGATACTATATTACAACTAGATATTATATTACAGCAAATATTTCAATTTTATGAAAACTGAGACCAAACACAAGTATCTTATTACATACGTTTATACACAATGTATTTGAGTGCCACTGAAGGATATGAATAATGATTCAGATTTAGCAAGTGAATACACTGTAGTTCTGTTGAATTGGGCCTACCATTTATTTTATATTTGCTGCCTGCAATACAACCAACTCTACTAACACTGTGTATTTCAAAGCAAAAATATACAAATTCCGGCTCCTGTCCCAAATTAACTCAAATCCTAACATGATGGAGAACCTTCATTGCCCAACCATTGAACAGATTCTGGGCAAGTTCGGAGCCAGATGCAAATAACACTGGTCTACAGCCAAAATGCTTCTTAAATAAATCTAATCCAACTTTACTAATTCTGGGTCACTGAGAATGAAAATGATGCTTTAAATTGTTGATTGGCTCTAGTTTTCAAGAAATGCTATTAGGTTAGTATATGCAACCCTAGACTTGGGAACGGTGAAGGATAAGTGAGTTATAATGGGAAAGGACCTCAATTTAAACCAGAAATGACTAAAACACATCATTGACTGGATCTAGTAATAAATCTATGACTGGGTTTTGACAGTATTTGCTTTTTAGGCAGAACAATTTTAGCCTGCAATAACATTGATGGTGTGACGGCAGCCCTTCATATTGTTCAAGATCCAGATGAGTGGAGACTGTTCATTGAAAAAAGTCTTAAAGCTGTTTTGCTGCATAAGGGCAATGTTTTGCCATCAATTCCAGTTGATCATGCAGCCCATATGAATGAACCGTATGACAACATGAAACAACTTTTGAGCTGCATAAACTATGACCAACATCAGTGGTAGCTTTGTGGTGATGTGAAGGCTGTTGCTCTCTTGCTTGGTCTGCAGATTGAACACACAAATTATTGCTGTTTTTTCTGCGAATGGGACAGTTGTGCAAGAGATTCCCACTACATCAAAACAGATAGGCCGCTCTGACAGTCATTGGAGCCTGGGAGAAAAAGTGTTGAGATTTCACCACTTGTTGAATGAAGGAAGATTTTGTTAACACTCTTACACATCAAGCTGGGTCTGATGAACAACTTTGTCAAGGATATGGACAAAGCGCAAGCAGCTCTCAAGTACCTCCATGGAAAATTTCCAAGGTTAAGTGAAGCTAAGAAAAAAGAAGGTGTCCTTGTTGGTCCTCAGATTCATGAACTTGTTTGAGATGATGCATCTGACCATGCATTGCATGGCAAGGAAAAGACAGCATGGAAAGCCTTCCAGTTAGTGGCAATAAATTTTCCCAGAAACAAGGCAGACAACTACAGGTTGTTGGTGGAAAACTTCCTCCAGGCGTACAAAAGCCTTGGATACAAAATGTCATTAAAATACATTTTTTGCACTCTCATTTAGATTTTTTTCCCCCACCAAACTGCAGAGAAGTGAGTGACAAGCACAGCCAGCAATTTCACCATGACATTGCAACAATGTCAGGGCAAATGGAGCCCTTCCATGAATGCTTGCAGGATACTGCTGGACAGTGACAAGAAGTGCTCCATTTAATGAATACAAGAGACAAGCCAAGAAGCACTGAATAGACACTGAACCAGACTAAATTATGTACATAATAGTTTTTTGCCTTTTGTTTCACAATACATTTTATTTATATAACCCTTTTGTTGATTTTTAGAGTGCTCAATAAACAGGACAGGTGAAATATTATCATGCAAAGCAACAATGCTATTCTTTCAACCTGCTCGATAAGAAGAATTTTCCTCCTGTCTGAACTGCTTTTTACTCATACTCAATACACTTTTCATACAGAATACCTGACGATGTATGAAGACAACAGATCCCAAGAGCCTCCAGGTGCCCCCCTGTCGGTCTACATGAAGCATGCGAAGTATCTGCAGAAACCGGATCCCCCTTTAAGAAAATGAATTTTGAATATATTTTACCATGGAGAATCCACAAAAGCTGAGTTCTTGTCAGTTTCCAGATATTTGTTCTGAGTGCTCTCAGGGGATTTGGGAGCATTCCAGTATAATCAACCAAATACATAATTTACAGGGTAGAGACTGCTAATGTGGGACAGATCGAGTTCCTGAGGTCAATTTTACCTGGTTCCCAGAAACTCCTCAAATTTTTAATGAAGGCATAGCAAGTATTTATGCTCACCATTTGACTTGCAAGAGAAATATTATTTTTCTCTCCATTTTAATATTATATCTGTCTTTGAATTTATATTTAACTGGGACAGTCATTGGGAGAGACCAGCAACTACCATCCCACCCTCTTGTTCCCACCATAGCTCCTTGTGGCTCCAGGTGGTTCTGCTGCCTTTCATCTTCAATTTATAATCTCCACAATTATCTTGATTCCTTTTGCAGTACATACAGCATATGCTTTCCCCACAGCAACATACATGGGATATGTAACTGCATATACTTGTAAACATTGTTATGCCTGAATACATGTTCTCAATAGCTGGGAAGCTCTCATCACTAGGTGACAAGAATGTTATTGTGGATACTGACAACACAGTCTGAGGTCATCCATCTTGATGCATGAACATACACGTTTGATTCCCAGGATGTCTTTCAGATAATACCAAATCCTTTGGGCAAATAGTTAGAGAGAGCAAAATATACTGAAAGGTAATGGACAACATGTGTCCTGCTCTCTAACGCTTCTCCTCTTTTTCTCCCTTGATGTACTTTCTATCTGGAACTGTCTCCCAGAATGCCTCTGTACCACGACCTTACTTCCATTATTTCAAATCCTTTGAAATCCTTGTTCTTTCTAGAAAGCTTTGGTACACCCTTTCTAGATGTATTGTTGTAATGAATTATGTGTGAGTGAACAATCACATATTTTCCTTCTCCTTTTCTCTGCCTCCTTCTCCCTTCTCTTCTTCTGCTGTTTCCCTGTCTGTTTCTAGACTGTAGGGCACAGTCAGTAGAATATGAAGCCCTTGGCATATCTAGTGCAAGAGAAATAGTGTGCTGCAAAGCTGCTTAAGTGTTATAACAGGAACAAGAACTATAATGGTTTAGCAATGAAGGCATCACGTAACTGCTAAGACATTTTTGCAGATTTTACTCAAAAATTTCACTAGCAGCAGATTTCTAAATGTTCTGCCATCAATGCAGCAAACACTGTGTGACATACCTTATTGCAGATGTAGCAAACACTTGTCCATTTGATCCTACACTCAGAACAATAATAGAAGCTATAACGACAATCAGATCTGTTGATAGATATTGAAAAGCATTAATGCATTTTAAAAGCATCCAAAGAAAAGGAGGAAACCTTCCACCAAAATTGGTGGATTTTTCAAAGATAACATTGTGAAAGTATTCTTTATTCTGTCATCTCTGCTTATTTATCTTCAGTTTCTGATGGATTACATGTAACAGTGAGAGAAAATCAATATGCTTTCACCACAATGATTATTATTTTTTTTAAATGACGAAAATCATTAATAAAAAAACCAAAGCAATTTTATGTCTCTAGAGTTACAACTGATCATTATGGTACGTTTTGGCTACAATTTTTGGCACAGGCAACTATTTTCAGTCACTTCTAGGAACAGAGCGAGAAAGCTAGTAACCTCTAGAGACATATCCATTCTTCAGAGTTACACTGGTTTAGTAAACACTATCAATCCCCATGGCACTTGGGGAAATGCAATTCAATGAAGGTAGGATGGCAGAACTATTCAAAAATCCTCAGCACCATTACTAAGTCAATGCAGTTTTCAATATCATGTTTCCAGTGTATATATGCTGTTGAAATATAAACCTTACAATAACTGACATTATAAAGTGAAACATCCCTGAGAAAGCATATAGAGTTTTGGAGGAGAGGATTCATATTATATAAAATATAATGTATTAACTTCAGAAATAATTCAGAAGGTTCCTGTGTCATGGTGGCTGTCTATGAAATTGGTTTGGCTACACTAGCTGCAGGGAGCTCCTGCCATTTCGGAATGAATGGTCAGGCTTGATTAGGCCATTCTAATCAAGGCCAGCCATTGGTTTAATAAGCAAGTCACTTCTAGATATGGGTAAAACATTTTTTTCTGTTTAAGAAAATCACCAATGCAATAAGTCAAATATAAAAAAAATTTAAAAGTTGTTCTTTTGCCTCACTGGGTTTCCTGACCAGTGAGGCCAATTGACACTGGAGTGATTTAAGTTAGCAAACATAAAGAAAACTGTTCATTTGGACCGATCCTTAATTTTTCCAAATAAATAGTAGACCCCATCCCTAGATAAACCAGGGACAGACTGGTCTTTATTAGGGACAAGTTGGAATGCTCTAATAAAAATGTTGTGTAGCCACCTTTTTAGAGTGATCCCAACTGTTCTAGCATGGGACAGCAGAGAGCAATAAACTCCCATGTAGCCGACCTCTTATTCAAACAACTTTCTGTTAACTATTCCTGCATGTGCAATAAGGGGTACAATTATATTGATCCGATCTACAAGACTATTGAAAATGTTTTGAAATATTGTACATTAACTGCTTTGAACATTTTAAGATGTTAAGCAAATGTGAATTGTATTCTCGAAGGCTTTCACGGCCTGGATCTGATGGTTGTTGTGGGTTTTTCGGGCTCTTTGGCCGTGTTCTGAAGGTTGTTCTTCCTAACGTTTTGCCACTCTCTGTGGCTGGCATCTTCAGAGGAACAGGAGTAGGAACTCTGTCCATAATCTCAAGAGCACTGACAGAGTTCCTACTCCTGTTCCTCTGAAGATGCCAGCCACAGAGAGTGGCAAAACGTTAGGAAGAACAACCTTCAGAACACGGCCAAAGAGCCCGAAAAACCCACAACAACCATCAAATGTGAATTATTTAACTATTCACAAGTTCTCTGGTGAGTGGTAAGACAAAAAAGTTCTTAGGATGCTAGGAAACACCCTAACTGTGAAGACCAGAATCACTTTTGGAACTGCTTTAATACAACTTATACAACTTTCTTTTCCTTAAATGTAGAGATCCATTGACTCCCAGTGAACGCAGCTCAAAACTTGCAACTCCATCAGTGCCACTGCTTTCTTTGCAAGATCAATCTGCTAAGGAAAATTGGCCTAATATTCTTTTTTAGCCACAGTGCAGCACAAATGTTATCTAATTCTCACAGTTGAAACAAGGAGAATCAATTTAAGTTTCTTGCTGAAATGCATATGTGGTCTTAGGCTATCTACACTAAGGGACCACGACCACCACCACCACCACCACCACCAGTAGTAGTAGTAGTAGTAGTGGTAGTGGTAGTGGTAGTGGTAGTGCTAGTAGTGCTAGTAGTAGTAGTAGTGGTGGTGGTGGTAGTAGTGGTAGTAGTGGTAGTAGTAGTAGTGGTGGTGGTGGTGGTGGTGGTGGTGGTAGTAGTGGTAGTAGTGACTCTTGCAGAGTGCAGGTGACATAGAAGTCAAATAAATAAATAAATACTGCTGATAATAATAATAATAATAATCTTAGAACTGCAGAACTGGAAGGGACCCTATGGATCACTGAAACCTGGGAGGCACAGTGAGGAACTGAACTGACAACCTTTGGATCTGCAGCCAGATACCTAAAGCAGTGATCCATCCAGCAGTACGAAATTCTCCATTCCTGATCTGCATTTTAAATCCTCACTACCACAGCATACGCAAGTATGCTGATCCATGCCAAGTCCTATCATATGCACCTAGTTCTCAGCTGAGTGCCACCGATTTCTTAGGACATACTCCCAAAGGGCTGCAGCCTCCAGGACTGCTGTTAAACCTTGCCACTGCAGCATGCTATGTGGATCATGCCCTTCAGCCTATTTCAGACTCTTCTCTCAGTTTTAGTCCCCAAATCCCTTTATTCCTGTATACCCCCATCACCACAATGAATTCTTTTTTGAAACTACTAGGCTCCAGTGCATTCAGTTATTATTGCCATCTGCAGAATCCCCACTGAGTCGGGCAGTGTTTTCCTCTTAGCTTTTCAATTGCATTTGAGCTTGCAATTTTCTGCACGTTTCAGAGAGAAAAGACTAGAATTGAAAATAAATGGTTCAGCATGATGTTCCTTATCTTTACAAGGACAGAAGCTAAAGGTAAGAGAATCATGAATATCCTCAGGCCATCTAACATTTTATTAATTAAGGACATATATTATGATTACTGCTGCCAAGCGGTTTTATTTAAGAATATCTATCTAGAAGCATTTGACAACTCAAATGTTCACAGAGCCAACATTATTCCTGTGATAACTGAAAACAGCCAAGGACTTGATGCCAACAAAGGCTTTGATATTTAATGAAGGTCTTACCTATTATTGAAATAGGCTTCCTAGCAAAACGTATTCTTCCTTTAATACCAACGTATTTGCTTCTGCAACCTGCAGACCAGAGTCTTACCACATATTCAGCACCAAAGAACACCACTAGGACAATTTCCTGAAATTAAAGAAGATGATTTAGACTTATGGGTATATACATTACACTTTTATAACAATTTGATTATATTTCAACTACCTGGAGAACAATGAAGGTAAACAAAGGTATAGAACTATGTTAAATATAATTAATAATATAATTGACTCTCCCCCCCCCCCATTTCTTTTAATATTCTACCTTTTGGCCTCAAAATTACAATCAAAATAACAAGGGACAGATTTTGAGGATGGGTGGGTGCAGGAAGAAAGAAAACCACCCCCTCCAGGTTATATCAACAGAAATAATTTGGTCAGTGCCAAGATACAGCCTGGGTCCCAGCCTCCTTCTCTACCACTGCCTCCAGAAGTAAGAATAGACACATACATGCACACAGTTGAAAAAAACTCTTTAACAATCACTCCTGCAAGCACAAAATGTCGTTCATTAGTGGAGCCATTCTCTGATTGCATGACATCATGATGCCAGCTCTATCTCATACACATACACCAACAGAGACACAATTGGGAAGTCAGAGTATAGCAAACCATGAAAAGGCTGAGTGGCTGGCAGTGTGAAAGTAATCCTCACATATAAGCTATGCCCCAAAGTTCAGCTCAGTGTATGTGGGCCATATATTTAATCCCTCTATTCATTGCCCACTGAACAATGATCTGAGAAGGGCTACAGAAAGGTTGGGAGGTTAATTTGCTTCTGCTTAATCCATCAAGAAATTGAACTGTTTTTCACGGGGGCGGGTGGAGGCTGTAGATTGTCTTTCCAAAACTAGGGAATTTGAAATATATGTTCAGTGAGCTGGCACCCACAGAACACCTACCAGATTTCTGCACTGCTGTACAAAACAGACCATAATATTACAGGTTTGGTTTTGCATCATTTTTTAAGTGACTAATAAAGCAGACCTGATTAAATATTAAAAATTGACAATACCAATGTATGCTTACGCAAAGAAAAGGGCATCTCTTGGTGGCAAACATCTGCTCATTAATAAGGTGCTTGTTATGTTCCTAGGCATGCATCCAATCATATAATTGGGGACATCCAGGAATGCAACCAGCACCTTGATAATGAGCAAGAATATGCTGCTGAGATTTATGTAATTTCCCTGGTGTAAACATAAATCAGCAACAGGATCCTGGCCATTGACTTCCAATCCCAGAACTTTTATGGGCATGATTGATTCATAGGTCTCTTCTGCATTCAAAATGTCACCTTCACATTATAAATACAATTTGTTTCTAAACACATGGGCCTGAATCTCATTGGTAATCCTAACTAAAGCTAACCCATTAAATCAGTGGCTGAAAACCTTTTGTTTTATGTAGGAAGGAGCCTCGTGGTGCAGTGGTTAAACTGCTGTACTGCAGCCAAAACTCTGCTCATGACCCAGGGTTCAATCCCAGATAGCCAGCCCAAGGTTCACTCAGCCTTCCATACTTCTGAAGATTGTAAAATGATGACTACCTAACTCACTGGGGGCAATGTGTAGCCTGCAACTTGTAAAACTGCCCAGAGAGTGCTAAAGTGCTATGAGGCAGTATATAGGTATATAACCAGCACACTTTGCTTTTATATTCTCTCATACACACACACACACACACACACACACACACACACACAGATGCATGCATACATACATACGTACATACTATATATATAATGTGTTTATGGACTGGGTCAAAAACAAAAAAAGGTTGAGAATAGCTGCTCTATAGCATCATCTGTAAAACTAATTTCAATATTTATTTTTCCCTCTTGCTGTACCTCCTTGTTCCACAAGGTGGCTACAGAAGACAATAAATGTGTCTTTAGCAGCAAACGTTCATATACTGTATATTATCAATTGCCCAGTCTAGGTCAGTATGTATTTTGTTTAACGTCAGCTTAGCCTTCAACATCAGATTGCTTGTACTAAGAAGAGTGATAAGGAATTTTCCCTGTTAGGTGATAGACAATGACACAACTGATGTTCCTCATGAGGGAGAAATCCCAGAAACATAGACACAATGAAAAATAGACAAAATGAAAATAGATAATATTATTGTTAAGATGCTTATGAGCTCTGTAATTGGATCATATAAATTGGATCATATTAAATTATTTTTTTAAAAAAAATCCTCTGGTTTATGAATGTGGGATATTGTACTTCAGTATCTATGATTCAACATGTCAGGAAATGGTCTGACATTGTTGCACAATATCATGCTCACACTGCCAGCAGGAAAAAGGGTGCCAACCTTTACACAGGAAAGGGCAGCCTGAATGTTGGCAACACCAATGGCAGCAGTCAAGGTGGTCTACAGGATACCCTGTTCTGCTCAATGTGTTTCACAAAGTGACATGAAGAAAACAGAAAATCCCAGAAGCTGACTCCTTTTTTCATTAGTTAACCACTTCTCAAACAGAGAAGTGGTTTTTTGAGCATAAGAGAGTACCCTGTAGACCATCCTGACTGCTGCCATTGCTGTCGTCAACATTCAGGCTGCCCTTTGTTATATGAAGTTTAGCATCCTTTTTCCTGCTGGTAATGCAGGAAACCCTTCAGATAGGGTTTTAGGAGAGGAGAGGAAACTGAAGGATTCTTATATCCTGGTAGGCACTATACTTCATCCAAGGATAAGAGATATTCTTCTGATGTGTCTTAATAATTTTTAATTATTGATTAATGTGCTTATGATTCTTTTTAGATAAGTAACATTTAGTTTTTATTATATATTAGTGGCTAGAATTTTATATTTTCGACATACTGCTTTTTGGCCTTACAGTGGACCCTCTACTTATGGAATTAATCCGTACTGGAACAGTGGCTGCAGCTCGAAAAGTCTGTAGGTTGAGTCTCCATTGACCTACAATGCATTGAAAATCGATTAATCCCATAACCCACCATTTTTGTTCCATTTTTGTTCCATTTTGGTTTTTTTTTTCTAGTCTGTAGGTCGATTCTCCAGCTGCAAGTCGAATCTAAATTTTGCGGCCAGAGAAGTCTGTAACTCGAAAAATCTGTAAGTCGAGCCGTCTGTAAGTCGAGGGTCCACTCTAATTAATAAGCCTTTAAAATAAGTCTTGTGCTACTCCATTTTCCTGCTCAAAAGCAGGGTACAATATCCAGAATTTCAAAGTGCAAGTATATCATTTGAGTTCCTCAAACTAACAAACACATTTCATGAATCCACAGAAGTCACATTTCCCCTTAGGGGTCTGTTCTGAGTAGGGAAGGATCTAAGAAGAGGTGATTTGTTAGAACCCTAAATTCAAAAATTCTGTCAGTTTTCTCTAGTTGATTCTTTCAATTTGATTTAGGCCATGACTTGGATTTGTCTCTCAAAGCCCTTCTGTGGACTGCGAGTTGTAGTTTAAACACAGAACGAAGTCAGGTTTTTAATAAAAATAGTATGGTGTGATATTACATGGTATGGTACATGATTTACTGTCAAGTCACTTCTGAGTTAGGGCAACCTAACAGGGTTTTCAAAGCACATGAGATGCCCAAAGAGTGGTTTACCACTGTCATTGCTCAGTGAGTTTCCATGGCCAAGAGGGGCGCTGAACCCAGATCTCTTGAGTCCTAATCTGATGCTCTATCCCTTATGCCACCCTAGTTCTATGAATGAAAATGGGCTTTACCCCCAAACCCTTCAATTGTAAGAAGTTACATAATGAAAGGAACAGGCATAAATGTTCTTAATCATTGCTGTATGTAAAACAAAGTAGAAGTGTAAGTAATGTAACTTGATACAATGCTTGACAGAATAGGCTGGGACTGAACAATGCACTCTGGAAGGATGCTTTTTTCAGTTGTCCTGGCTCAAGTCTATGAAAAGGAAGAGATTTGCTTACATACTTCATATGCATTAAGCCTGCTGAAGAACACTATAGCCTCCACTAGGAACTAGTTTTGCTGAAGAATCAGATTTATTAGGAGGTGCGAGACAGTGGACCAAAATCTTAAGAAACACAAATGCTTGCTGCCCTCATCACAGGTAGTGCTCATCTGTACCTTCTCTCCACTGATAGGTGAAGGGCCAGATGGCACCAGGAGGCAGGCTGGATTTGGTCCTTATTTGACACCAGTATAAGCTCCATAATAAAAACATTACATGGGTAGTACAATCTTTTTAAAAATGTAATATCACATCTTGTTTTTTAAAAAACCCAATATAAATATCTATTATGTTCTTTATGCAAACAATGAATGTTTTTTTTCAGTGTAAATTTTCTTAGCCATGGCAAGAATCTACAGCAATTTTTACTCCTAAACTAGGGGAAAAAATCCTGCCACTGCTGAATCTCATAAACAGACAGCTTTGCTAAACTGTGGTCATAAAATATGAACCTTTGAAAAAGGTAAGCATAAATGCACTGATTATAATCAGACAAGTTGTCTTGTAGAAGTTAGAAAATACTGTAAATAAACTCAAATAACAGAAACTGGAGAGAACTTCATTCTTAATTGCTGGAAAAAGCATGTAATAAAACAGAACCAGTACATTTAGAATAGGCAGAATCATTTGTTTGTGTGGAATGGTATACACTTTCTAAGTGGATTCAGAGGATTTAGAGAAATCAGTTTCCAAGGTTTGTTGGAAGAAACATTTTGGAACCATTACAGTTAAGAAGAGAGACCCAGTGGGTGTGTTGACTATTACCTCTTTTGTTTGCTTTAGAAATTGATGAGTACATAGATGGCTGTTGCCATAATGAATGATAATTATTTTACCAGTCAAGCTCCATAGAGCAGTACAGAAAATGCAGTAGAGGACACACTGGTGATGGGGCTTCAACCATACTCAAATCTGAAACCTTTTCTATAGCTTTATTTCAAAGTTGTACCCAGTTTAAAAAACAATGGCAGTAATACCTACCAGAGGCTTATTTCTAGGTAAGGGGGCACAGAATCAGCTTAATATTAGCTATAAGAATCAGTTTTGCATCTGGAATTTTCAAAGAAGTACCCATATTAGTCTGTACAACCATATCCATATAATCTTTCAATGGAATAAAAACGCTGAAACGTTGTGGCACCTTAAATACTGTTATATTTCAATGTGAGCTTTCATGCTACTTCACACCTCATAGGAACTTCAGGACCATCCATTGAAACCAGGATATCTATGTTATCCGTATACTTACTGTCAATGACTTGTGCCAATAGTGTCATTTTGCTAATCCATTTCCTGTGCTATCCTATATATACCTGTGGTTTTGCTTCAGTTTAATATATCTGAAGAAGTGGCTGTGTCCACAAAAGCTCTCACTGAAATTTAATAGTCTCTAAAGTGCCATAACATTTTACATTTTTATTTCATTTTTTTAAAAAAATGTTTTAATATATGCTTAAAATTATCTGAATTATCTGAATAGATGAGCACTGAGGTTCACTGTCAAGGCAAAGTCAAGGCATTTCCCTGTCCGCTACACAGAACATGATGGTGCTCCACTTCCACTCCACAAAGAAAAATCTACAGAACTGGTGATTGAATCTTTTCCCAACAAAAGTGGTGAGACACCATCTTCCACCATATTTGAAATCAGCAGACTAGCTTAGGGGCTGCAGAGCTTGCCATGTGTCACAGATCTGGCTAAGGTTGACATGTTAATCATCCCTGCTCCAACACAACAGATTAATTTCCATATTGTTGTTGTTGTTTAGTCGTTTAGTCGTGTCCGACTCTTCATGACACCATGGACCAGAGCACGCTAGGCCCGCCTGCTTCCACTGCCTCCCAGAGTTTGATCAAATTCATCTTGGTAGCTTTGGTGACACTGTCCAGCCATCTCCCATGAATAGGTTTCTCAGGAGACAGATAAGGTGGTCAGGCACTCCCATTTCTTTAAGGACTTGCCAAAGTTTGCTGTGGTCCACACAGTCAAAGGCTTTTGCATACTCAATGAAGCAAAAGCAGATGTTTCTCTGGAATTCTCTGGCTTTCTGCATAATCCAGTGCATGTTAACAATTTGGTCTCTAGTTCCTCTGCCCCGCCGAAATCCAGCTTATACTTCTGGGAGTTCTCGGCCCACATACTGCTGAAGCCTATCTTGGAGGATTTTGAGCATAACCTTGCTAGTGTGTGAAATGAGTGCAATTGTACGGTAGTTGGAGCATTCTTTGGCACTGCCCTTCTTTGGTATTGGGATGTAGACTGATCTTTTCCAGTCCTCTGGGCACTGCTGAGTTTTCCAAACTTGCTGGCATATTGAATGTAGCACCTTAACAGCATAATCTTTCCAGATTTTAAATGGTTCAACTGGAATGCCATCACCTCCACTGGCCTTGTTGTTAGCCAGGCTTTCTAAGGCCCACTTGACTTCACTCTCCAGGATGTCTGGCTCAAGGTCAGCAACCTTGAGGGACATCCAAATCTTTCTTGTATAATTCATCTGTGTATTCTTGCCACCTCGTCTTGATGTCTTCTGCTTCTGTAAGGTCCCTACCATTTTTGTCCTTTATCACGTCCATCTTTGCACAAAATGTTCCTTTAATATCTCCAATTTTCATGAACAGATCTCTGGTTTTTCCTTTTCTATTATTTTCCTCTATTTCTTTGCATTATTTTTGCTTAATTTTTCTGAAACGTGAAAAACTTGGAATGCTGCCTTGTCGTGGCAAAGTGGCTTGAGTAACTCAGAGAAGCTATGGGCTATGCTGTGCAGGGACACCCAAGATGGACAGATCATAGTGGAGAGTTCTGACTAATCGCAATCCACATGGATTGGCAAGCCACTCCAGTATCTTTGCCAAGAAAGTCCAATGCTGCAAAGAAAAATATTGCATAGGAACTTGGAATGTAAGATCTATGAACGTTGGGAAGCTGGATGTGGTCAAACAGGAGATGACAAGAATAAACATTGACATCCTGGGTGTCAGTGAACTAAAATGGACAGGAATGGGCGAATTCAATTCAGATGATTATCATATCTACTATTGTGGGCAAGAAGCCCATAGAAGGAATGGAGTAGCCCTCATAGTCAACAAAAGAGTGGGAAAAGCTGTAATGGGATATAATCTCAAAAATGATAATGATTTCAATACAAATCCAAGGCAGACCTTTCAATATCACAGTAATCCAAGTTTATGCACCAACCACCGATCCTGAAGAGGCTGAAATTGACCAATTCTATGAAGACTCACAACACCTTCTGGAACTGACATCAAAGAAAGATGTTCTTCTCATTATAGGGGATTGGAATGCTAAAGTAAGGAGTCAAGAGATAAAAGGAACAACAGATAACTTTGGCCTTGGATTTCAAAACGAAGCATGGCAAAGGCTAATAGAGTTTTGTCAAGAGAACAAGCTGGTCATCACAAACACTCTTTTCCAACAACACAAGAGGCGACTCTACACATGGAAATCACCAGATGGGCAATACCGAAATCAGATTGATTATATTCTCTGCAGCCAAAGATGGAGAAGTTCTATACAGTCAGCAAAAACAAGAACTGGAGCTGATTACGGCTCTGATCATCAACTTCTTATATCAAAATTCAAGCTTAAACTGAAGAAAGTAGGAAAAACCATTGGGCTAGTCAGGTATAATCTAAACCAAATCCATATGAATACACAGTGGAAGTAAAGAACAGATTTAAGGAACTCGATTTGGTGGACAGAGTGCCTGAAGAACTATGGATAGAGGCTCGTAACATTGTACAGGAGGCAGCAGCAAAAACCATCCCAAAGAAAAGGAAATGCAAGAAAGCAAAGTGGCTGTCCAATGAGGCCTTACAAATAGCAGAGAAGAGAAGGGAAACAAAAATGCAAGGGAGACAGGGAAAGTTACAGAAAATTGAATGCAGACTTCCAAAGAATAGCAAGGAGAGACAAGAGGGCCTTCTTAAATGAAAAATGCAAAGAAATAGAGGAAAATAATAGAAAAGGAAAAACCAGAGATCTGTTCAGGAAAATTGGAGATATTAAAGGAATTTCCGTATTAGGAATGTGTAACTTAGAGTCTTATGTCACATATCCATGAGCAAAAAAAATAGGGGGGGATGCAAATCAGCTTGCCAAAAATCCATAGTATTTCCCACATTTTCCCAAGTATAGTTGCACCTTTATTCTGAAGAGAATACAAAACTGTAGCCTCATAGTAGAAGCCTTGACATGGCTACTCAAGGGCAAGACCCACTTAATGCAATAGGACATGCTACTGTGTAGATGATCTTGCAGGAGTGTCTTAACAAATTAATAATTGTGACTTTACAAATTAATAATTTCAGTTTTAGCCTTGGCTAGTTCAATTTTTCATCCAAGATCTAAACACAGTATTATATTACAGCCATTTTATTCAATACTTAGATCACTTACCATCCAAAACAGTGTCCCAGTGGCAAATTCTGCATAATGTTCTATAGTGGACAGAACACTGAAAATTAAACAAACCAACACCAATAGAAATCTGGAAGAACAAAAAGAAAAAAAAGGAAGAAAATGTAGTAATTGATAAGGAAAATAACACAACTCACTTTCAATCATATTTCACATACTCAGTTTTACAGTCTTGCTGCATCATAAGCAAAAACGTAATGTGGAACTCTGAAAAGCATTAAAGGTACACCCTACTTAATCTTTCAAAGAAAAACAATATTTTAAAATAAACTCCCAAACTGTTCTTGCTGTAGGCAACATGATTGCTGGCCATAGAAAAAACAATGACAAAACCCTCAAGTTCCAGATCCTGGAGAATGTTGCTGGATTAAGAATACAGCTAGAACTGAAGTATTTTGAATACGTCCTCTACATTGGTCCCATAGGCCCTGACAATGAAGATATTTGGGATTCTGAATCATAATTCATGGATTACAGGTTCATCTGCATCTTTTGTTTTGTAATTTTATGTCACTTCTACCGTTACTGTTTACACTGAGCTGCTTTTACTGTGGTTAGGAACCAAGTTGTCAATATGGCAGTTAACCCTAAAATCTTATAGACAATACAGCAAGAATTTTACCTGTGATGTTAACGATACCTTGCTCATTTTTTTATATGTCTTTAGAACTGGAAGATTACAGTGGTGCCTCAATTTACGACCATAATCCGTTCCAGAAGATGGATGTAATTTGAAATGGTTGTAAGTTGAAGCACCATTTCCCACTGAAATGCATTGGAACACGATTAATCTGGTCCAGAAGAAAAAAAATACCCCACCCCCCCAAAAAAATAAAAATAAAACACTGCAAGCCCCATAGAAACGCGCTGGGGTGCAAAAAACAAAACCCAAAAATAAACAACAGAGCAAGCCCCAAAGGTGCTGGGGCTTAAAAACAAAACAAACCCAAAAATAAACAATGGAGCAAACCCCATCGGAAGGCGCTGGGGCTGCAAAACAAAAAACAGCACAGAAACATAACCCCCCCCAGCCCAAACCCACCCTGCAAAACCCACCCAGAACAGGCAGTTTTTAAAAAGCAGAAAGCAGCACTTTACCTTACCAGGCAGTCCAAAGCCTCCCTGCAAACAAACACCCTCTCACTCCGAAGCAGAACCCAGGCAGTCCGAAGCCTCCTCCAATCACGCATTCTGTAACTGCTGGGGCGAAAGAACTACAAAGAAGCAGCCTCTTTGCCACCAACAGTTAGCAGTTTGAATTTCTCGCCTTTTCCCCTTGCCTTTTTTGTTCGTAACTGGAAGCTCTGGCCACAAATTGAAGTAAAATTTTGCGGCCGCAGCTGGTCGTAACTTGAAATGGTAGGAAGTCAGGATGTTTGTAAGTCAAGGCACCACTGTATTACAAAATGATGTCGTTAACATTTTCACCTGGTGAGAATTGGTGATGGATATTTTTGCATCTTGTTATTCTAGCACAGTAATTGAGCAGTTCAGTTTTTCCTTTGTATTTGTCCATCATTTATTCTCTTTGTTTGGGTCTAATTGCAGACCACTGAAGAAGACATATAGTCAAAACATATTCGGCTTTGACTTATTTTTTAAGTTGTCCTTGAATTATTTTTATACAATTTATTTATTGTGCTGTGTATTCTTAATAAGGTTTCATCGGACATAGAAGAGTTAACAAAAAAGGAAAAGTTAATGGAAAAGTTCAGTTAATTGTTACTGAGTTTAAAAGTCTAAGCCAATTAAACTTGAAGAGGCAAACTTTGAAACATTAAATTGATTTTAAATTGCCATTTAAGTTCAACTTTGTGCAATAAAACTTGACTTGAAAAAGATTATGGAAATCCCTCCCACTATTTTACTTCTCTCCCTCATCACTTTTGCCATTTTTAATCTAAAAATTAGCCTCCTTTTCCTTTTTCAGTATCATGATCAATTCAACAGCAGACACTTCTAGATGCACTATTCATAGTACCTAAACATGGACTAGTTGCCATCATTTATTCTGTCTGATAAGCATCTTCCTTAATGTGTGTCAGAATGTTATTATTTTGCAAATATTTAGAGGCATTTATGATTGTCACTCATTATGATCATAATTCTGTACAGCTGGAAAGCAGAGCTAAATCCTGATACTGAGAAAATCTGTTCATTGCCTTGCATTCTGTGGCAATGACAACTTCCTTTCAGCCTTGTTAGATACTCATGATTAATTAAGGCTGCAGAACGATATTCATTTACCTTCTCAGGTCCCATAAACCCCACTAAACTCAGTGGAACCAACTTCTGAGTAATATACAGGACTGTGTTTTATACAGTTTGACTTTAATTCCCTCTTCATCCACAAGAATACAGTTTTTAAAGGGAGAGAGACAGATACCAATCACTCAGGTATGTCCACAATTACTAAAGGTGTATCTGCCCATATCCTATTCTCATACAGGAGAAGGACAACATGTCTGTAGAAAAGTCATTAAAAATTTCCATAGCCAATCTACTAATGCAGGCTATGGGATCAAGTCAGCACGATCAGGAAGGAAAAGGGATTTGCTTTGTTTGGAACTTCCAGATATATGTGGCATGATGCCCTCCTGGAACATCTTTAATGAAAATCAGCAGAGTTGCCTGGGTTTGAATGTATGCTTCTGAAAGTAGAAGCCTGGGACAAAATAGGTATTCTCTTGGTGTACTACTCACCCCATGGAACAACAACCAGAACTAAAGCTGGTATCATGGTTGGTGTTAGAGTCTCCTTTGCTAGACTTTAACATCTATGTTGAGGCAGCTGTTGCATAATCTGGCTTCAGGCCTGGTTATGGGACAGAGAAGGCTTTGGTCGCTTTGGTGACCTATGCCAGGAATTTATTCATGCAGGATTTTTTTTTCCCTTTCAAAAACAGAAAGTGACCAGCAGGCTACATTTGCTGTTGTGTTGCTCCCAATATAAATGGAAGAGTATAGAAATAATGGTGTTCCTCTCAAATGGGAAACAGTTTTCTTTCAATGAGTCTTGGCAGGTACAGAAAAATCTGTTTTCATGAGACTGTCACATGCAAGTTTGTTTTTCATCCCTACTACTGATTAACATAAGTTGCATAGTTTCATAGTTACCTGCAGGAATTAATTCTACTTCTAGCCATGTGTCTGCTACATCTACATCATCTTAGAACTTCAGAGCTGGAAGGGACCCTCTGGATCGTCAAGTCCAGCCTCTGTCAAGGAGGCCCAATGGGAACTGAACTTCCAAGCTCTGGCTCCACGGCCAGAGAGCTAAGCCATACATGTGCCACTTTTCTACATGTTTGGTCACCCTGAACAATGAATGTTTCTGCTCATGTGGAAAAGCTTTACATGCTCTCTTCAGATTGTCCTTCTTCACATGGAGACAGTGATAAGCCTAGGATGGAGCTAGAAAACCTCTGTATATGGAACCGGAATGCAGAAAAAGAGCTCCACTCGAATTCATTAACCTAAAATGGGTTAAATGTGAATCATTGTGTTCATGCTAATGTTTAACACTGTTAGCATAAAATTAATTAATTCATATTCATTATATTAAATATTAAATCATCATACAGGGATGAGAAATAACTTTGTTGCATTCAGCTATCTCTTTTGCACCTTCCAGGATTCACTGCAGAATTATGTTCTCATGTCCGGGTGTCATAATGGGAAAAATCTGAGCTACAAACAAGTTTTTTTAAAAAGTTAATTTGTGAGTTGTAACTCAGTGTTGTTTTTCAAAGCTTTTACTTTGTTTTTGTTTTAAAGCACCTTATCACCATTTAAATGGGACTGTTGTGCTATGTGAGAAATAGCACACTAAAACCTGTTATCTAAATAATGTATGATCGATGTGTTACTTTTTAATTACTTTTATATTCAAAATACACTAAAATATTAAAGTGGCCTCAAATCCCATGAAATGCTCCCAAAGCAATGATTTTAGAAATAATTACGGTAGTTATAATTTTTTTTAAAAAAGGTAATAGTGATAACTATGATTGCATTTGTTATAAAAATAATGTTGCCCTCCCCCACTCCCCATAATATATTATGGTAACGTTAGTTGTATTGTATTTCTTGTATTCTCTAGAAAAATATATGTCTCCAGTAGCATCCTGCCTCCACTCTAAATCTAGGGGCACTGGTGCCTTGGCACAGGATGACTCAAACACCAATCTAAGAACCTTATCAATCCACCAGAGCAAAACCACTGAAACAATTATAATCATAAAAATGAACAAGCAGTAGTATTATATAGAAGCATCTTATGGAAGCAAATGATGCATCCACAAAGTCTGAAGATGAAAACCAGTATTGTGAAATTTTCAGAGAAACAAGCAGTTAACTAGTAAAGATCCCAAAACACTGGAAAGTAGATAGATAGAGAGAGGGAGAGGGAGAGGGAGATATAAAGTATAGACACCAAGATTTACTTTCTAATCCTGGGGCACATTTTATCAGCAGCCTCCCCAATCATTATGTTTTGCGACAGGGACTGTGGAATAAAACTCATCATTCTAGCTTCCTTTCTCTTAACTGAATAGAGTGAGAGACTGAGAGAGAGACTGAGAATAATGTTGAGTTAGGATTTAGGGAGTTATGAGGTCTAAGTTTTGTTGTTTCTACCTTGCTTTAGCTGTATTAATAATGTTCAAGATAATGTGCATTGGGAAAGAGGAGACTTTGCAGCACACCGCTATTCTTAAAAGTCTTCAAATACTTTTTGTACCTCCTTAGTCTGAGTAACAGTTCTTCTGCAGCTTTGCAGCTTTCATACTGGGGATGACTCTAAGATGTGTGCCATTTTCATACAGACTGCTACCTTACCAAAAAGGAGGGTAAAGTAAAAGGGGATGCAAATTATCCTTTTTTCAGTTCAAAAGTTTAGGGCTCCTTTGGACAAATACTACTGGACTGAATTTACTTGAACTTCAAAGATTCCTTCCTGTTCGATGGTCTGTGCTGGTATGATCTGAACCTGAACAAGTGTTCAGAATTTGACCCATGCTCTCTGGGAAAACTAAAATGGAAAGAGTTCAAAATATAGTAGCATATCAT